GGGTGTGTGTGTGTGTGTGTGTGTGTGTGTGTGTGTGTGTGTGTGTGTATGTGTGTGTGTGTTTTGAGATTTTTGCACACAGAAGACCAGACAGTTAACAAATTCATGATGAATAAAGTCAGATATATCCATAATTGTGTTTTCTGAAATGATGGATCATTTTATATGCCTAAGCCAGTTGATACCTCAACAAGATAATATTTTTTACATAAATTTATCCATTATCTTGCAATTTCTCATGTTTTGACACTTTATCTTCTAATTTCAGTAAACCCTGTCAGACACATCTCAGAATCAGATTTAATGCTGAGTGTCAGGCATTAATCAGGTTGTTTATCTCGTGGAAAATCGCACTTTCACACATTCCAGTAACATTGCAACATGTATTAATAACAGAGCGTTTGCACTCAGTCAGCCTTCACAGCTAATATAGTCAACCCAGGTCAAGCTTAGGGCCTGTTCAGAGGCAAGTTAACCCACAGACTAACTGGTCTATGGATCAAATATGGCTGACCCACATGAAAGATTTCTGCATAATCCCTAAGTGGATTCCTCACAGAGATTATGCAAGTGCGAATCCAGATATATTTACTGACGGTTTTCCAAATTATCTTTGTTGATTCATCCTCCATTATTTTATTGATAATAATAATATTAATTTTTATAGGCTTTAATGTCCTTGTTATGATTTGAAAAATGAGTGAATGGTGAATAAAAAATGTGAGAATGCATAGATGTGTATTAATATACAAAATAAACAGATTGTCCAGGATAGAAGCCAGTATTTGTCTAGGAACTGGGTTTATTAATGGAGGTTCATCACTTGTTTGTCATAATGCGTGACTGCTGCTTCCAAGAAAATTGAACTTGTTTATGAGCGTATCAGTGCATAGTTACTGTCAGCTTAGGACAAAGCTTTGTCTTGCATAGAAATTGCACAAATACAGAGTTATGAATCAGGCTTTATATAAATTACTAATTGTAACTTGGAGCCACAGATATGTAACTGCATTTGTCCGAAATAATGATGTAAACTCCAACTTTTTTGTTTCGATTGCTTGATGCAAGTAACAGGGAGGGTAAAGGAACAGCTTTTTCAGAAGCGTGAACTAAGATTACCTGTTGGGTGAAGCATGCTAGGTGTGTTTTTCAAGAGGTTGTTTGTTTGACACTTGATGTTTTCAGACTTTGCTGGCTAGAAACAAATTCATCATTTCTGGGATTGCAGCTCTTGAAGCTTGAACTGAGAACTCCTCTAGGTGTAATGATATCTCACTAGTTTAAAACTGAGACTCTTCTTTATTCCACTAATATTTATTTATTTATTTATTTATTGTTAATGTCATTATTATTATTATTACCCTCATCATTAAATATTACATTAATCTGTATGTTTGTTTAATTATTTATTAATTTTTGAAGATTTAAAATTTTGATGTTTTACAAACACATACATTTTTGACGCACTCACATTTTTCAGTTATACTAATAGAGCATTATTCTGGGAGGTAATATACACCGAATCTGTGGAGATTAAGTGAAGATTTACCTGAAAACTCTTGGATGTTTTCTATTTGTATACATGTACTTGAAATGTGTTCACTTGGCCTTGACTTTCCTGTAGTCTTGATGATGTTGTTGTGAAGATTTGTTAAAAGGTTTTTCCTGTCAAAACTCTCTGACACAGAGGTTGAATAGGCAGAAGATTCTTTTCACTTATTAGAAAAAAAAACAGTTAGTCTGGTATCATAGGTAGCTATAGCAACTTATAAAAAGTAGTTATGGGTTTTACCCCCTTCTTATTGGTACAAGAGAGCAGTAGGGATCAATCGAGAGCATATTACAAGACTGACGGCACTGCTTGACATTATACAACACTGAAAATCATTTAAGTTCCAAATTTAGGTGGGGTTAACTTTTTAGCGGAAAGGTAGAAGCTCAATGCACAGGGAATGTAGTCTTAGATTAGGCAATACACATTGGCACTTAAGTTGTTAATTCACCAAGTTAAGCCAGTGTATCAATTAGACTTCTAAATCTGTAGTCAAGTTACATTGTAAATAAGTTACAGGTGATTTGATTAGGCTTTGGGTTTTCATAAGGAGCAAGGGCACTTACCATGAAAGGTCATAAATTGATGTGTAGTAAAGAAGGGAGGGGGNAGGTAGAAGCTCAAAGCACAAGGCATATAGTCTTAGATTAAGCAATACACATTGGCACTTAAGTTGTTAATTCACCAAGTTAAGCCAGTGTATCAATTAGACTTCTAAATCTGTAGTCAAGTTACATTGTAAATAAGTTACAGGTGACTTGATTAGGCTTTGGGTTTTCATAAGGAGCAAGGGCACTTACCATGAAAGGTCATAAATTGATGTGTAGTAAAGAAGGGAGGGGGTGTCTCTGGTATGCTAGATTTGTGTGAGATATTTGAATATTTTATTTTAGTTAAAATAATAGAATAATAGAGTTTATCATTTATGAGAATTGAAATTCTTGCAACTGTTTGCAAGTTCAAACCTTTCCAAATTCTACATGATTAATTTCTGAGGATTAATCTCAAATAGGAACTATGAGTATAGATATTCTGATAGTAGGGTTTACTAAAGGATGCATGTTTTCCTTTAAAGAAATATTCTCTCCTTCTTTTGAAAGGTGAAACATCTTGGTTTACAGCAATGTTACAGATTTTTCAGGGGTCGAAGTGATCTGACATTTAAAATGAGAGAGGATGAGGGCACACAAGTTCTGTCAGTATAAGAGTACAACACATGGTGACTTTCCCAAATGTTTCACCAAAGTATCAGAAAACTTGTGGTGATTTTCTTGAAATCTTTGAACTTATATGAGTTTTTCATCTCCTCAAGTAACAGAAAACTGCTCATGATTTTCCTGAAAATTTCAGCCAATGATTTTATCACCTCAAGTATCCAGAGCTGGTGATTTTTCTAAGAATTCACCCAGTGCCTTCCATTACCCTGAGAATCATAGAAATATTGGTGATTATTCCTTCCACTGACTCCCAAGCAGCATGTCAAAGATATAAAATATAGGGCTGGTTGCAGGGAATTTCATCTGGAGAATTTCAGGCTCCGGTTGGGGAAGTTTTCTCCCATGTTTCAAAGTTCAGACTCAACAGTGGAATTAGGAAATCCCAACCTATGAGTATCACCTTGACTGAACTCTTTTTGAAGCCATGAACTTATTTTGTAAGAATAAGGTTCTCAGTTTTCACTTGTTTTATGTCTGATTGATAGGCATTCAGTGGCTTTTATTGCAAATGGAACTGAGGAAGTTTGTGTAGAATTTTGAAGGATAATCCAGCAGTATGTTCATGAGTTTTACGTCCACTTAATATGGCATCAGTGCCTTCTGTTTTTTTTTTCTTTTTCTTTTTTTTTTTTAAAGCATTTCCCAGATGCACTTCCTTATAAGTTAGTTTGAGGGATCTTTTTAAGGAATACATACATGCTATGCTTTCTTAATGACCAGGATGGAGATACTCATGTTTCCAGCATTTTCACATGAGTTCTCGAGAGATGGCTATAGCAGAAGAAGAATATTTTCCTTCTACAAGTTTGTGAAGATCTCTAATAACATAATAGGGTTTTGAGTGAACAGATATTTGTTAGGAAAAAGAATGCTAAATCAAGAAAAATTTACTGAGCTGCTTTTTCCTTTTTTTCATATCTTTGTTATATCTTTTATTTATTACTCTGCAGATAATCTGTGTATCACATGGTAAGAGAGAGAAAAATCACCAAGTTGCTGTTGATATAGCCTACTGACACAACGGAAACAAGGATGTAATGGCGAGTGATTTATTATTCTGACACTACAGAAGGAAAACATGTAACAGCGCTCTTTCTCTGATGTTACAGCTGGTTCCCGAAATGATTTCCTAACCTCAGGAGAAAAAACAGTACAACTTTGTTGCTTCAGTACTTGGAAACCCTGACAAGTAGGGAGGAATATGTGCTTGTTTTACTGAACATTGTTTTTGTTGTTGTTGTTGGAATACTTAAGTGCTGTCATTTGAACTAAATTACTTCTTTTGCTTGGTCAAAATATGGTACAAGTACCAGTGTATTCACTGTATAACTTCTTCAGGAAGTAATCATATTTGAAGGACTTTGCTTCAGTCTGTGATCTTTTCAAGGAGAAATTCACTGGAACTTGAGATGTTGGTATCTGTGATCTGCTGCCTTGCCCAGATGAAAGAATCAACCAGTCGTTCTGTGATATGACAATTGCTCGAAAAACTATCCTTTTCTTCGTGGCAGGGTGAAACTCAAGTCGCCATTATCTTTTTAGATAGTGTCTGTTCACAGGAATCCTTTACATTACTGCCATTTAAAAGTAGAAAAAAAAACTGCCCATCTCTCCAAAGAAAACATACTTTACATCTAGAAAAAAGTTGTCATTGAAAACGTATATATATATATATGTATTTCTCATTCATAAAGATCGACTAAAAAGGGCCAACTGGACACCACTTTCATTCACTAACAAACAAAGAGCAACATTACTCCTGCAGAAAAGAAAATAATCCAAAGGCAATTATTAGTCTTATTATGGACAACTCATAACCGCAGTGTGACGTATCGGCAGAGAGCCAAATCCTGGAACGTTTTCAGAAAGCACTCTCAGCAATACCAGACAACAACGCCTGCGAGTGCAGTATAACATTTCATGTTATCATATCTGCAGAGAAAGAAAGAGAGAGATAAAAAAACTTGACCTTTTAATATGAGAACTAAAAGTCATGAATGCAGGAGTCCTATGTTCAGATATTTCATTTATTTGTGTGTGTGGGGGTGATATGATAAAAGGGAGAGGAGGAAAAAGTGACTTTTACTGAAGCTAATAAGTCAGAATTCCTCAGGTTGAGACCTTTTGTTCTGATTCATAATTTAACTATTACCTTTCACAAAAAATAAGAAAAAGAAAGCTGGCTACTATTCACACTTTCCTGTATAATATTTTTATGAAGAGACTACATGCCTACTCTAATTGCAAAGAAAAACCGAGCGTAGCATTACACAGCATCGCTAAGGGCACTGACATCGCAACATAGCATCCTGCAAATAAGGCAGCGTGGGTTCTACTGTACTGAGATCTCACTGCCGTATGCAGACACGCACGCACACGGACCCTCTAGCCTCTTGTGGAAGTCTTACCAGTCACCTTGCAGGAGCTCTGTGGTAAAATCACCTGTAGAAGGTGCTCTAAGTTAGGAAAATACTCACTCTGGGCCCTGGAATATGAAAAGAAGGGCCAGGAGACTGGATTGATATTTTAAAGAAATAAAAACAGGCACTGATTATCTCCACAGTGGTGCCAGCAACCTGGATTTTTATTAAATAATCAACAGCATCCAGAGTACGGGGCACCTGCTGTTGTCCTACAAAAAACTTCCAGAATCAAGAACCTGGATAACTGTTGACAGAAGAAAAGTATCCAGAGTACGAGGCACCTGCACAGCGTTACACACACATGGTGGTGTATACTGATAATGAAGATGAGCAGGAATGGTGATATTTAGACAGACATGTGAAGAGCAGGTTATTTCTATCTGGCCAGCTGACTAGGCCAACGCTGTTCTAGTAGAAGACTCACTGAGAGAGAAAGAGAGAGAGATTAACCAGAGGGTATAAGACAAGTGTGCTTGGATTTCATAAAGATTCTTCTACTTGCTTCGAGCTCTCAGAGTCCAGAGAAGTACATACAGAATAGCGGTTAACTGACAGACTCAAATGCAGCAAGTTTGTGACAAGGCTTTCAAAGTTTTTATTCATTTTCTTGCCAGTTTAAATAGTATTTGGGTGGTGGACACTACTATTTCAACCAAGCATTGAACTTTGCAATGTTGTGAAAGAGAGAGATGGTGACATCTCATTCGCGAAATTCGATAAATTTGTCAGTTCAGTGCAGGTTTTACGTGAGAGTATCTCAGGGATCGCCTCTGTTGAATATGAAAGTGAAAGTGCCTTGTCATATTAGTGAAGACACAAGGTTGTATTCAGTATTATGCAGATTAGCTATGCACCGCTTCAGTACGTATGCACACGCATCACGATCTATCGCAACTGTCGCATAGACCTCCGTCTGTGCAGGACGATACACTATGGCAGCCAGTGCGCAGCGGGGAGATACCTGCCGCCTGACACTGCCGAACCGTGTGGAGCGATTCATTACGGCTTTTGTAGTGCTGTGACGTCATTGCCGTTACATTACGTTAGCAGTAACAATGTCAGCAGTAACAATGCTAGGAATAAAGCACAAAGACGAGAGGCAGTTTTGGAGGCTGATGAGATTGATTACATTGTGTTCAAGGTAAGTGAAGGACGTGGGTTACAATATCATTACAATGACAGCATCAGTAACGTAACAGTCATTAAACATGGTGGAACAGTTTCGTGTACAGTGTCAAAATAATGTTGTCCTTGCTGCATTGGTACAACATTGGCTTTTAAGCTGTTAAAAGCTGTTAAAATATTCATGGTTTGTACATGGTTTCGGGATTTATGAGTTGTTGGACTGGCTTCAGTATTGTGACAATAATGTAATAATGTTGCTGCTGTAAAGCACAAAATGTATTGTTACATTGTACTAGAGGAAAACATGCCTGAGACATATTGTTTGAACACATAATAGCTGCAGCATTAACACTAAAAATTTTTTAATGTAAAATTATTAAGAACATTGATACATTATGAATTTAAACTTTGCAAACTGGTAAATATCTAAAAAAAAAAATGTGAATGAGCAAGAAAGAAAGATTGTTTCTTTTATTCTCTGGGATGAACTGAATAATATTGAAAGGGATAATTGTATGCTCACTTCAGTCATATTTTCTTGGATTGGCAAAATCAAACATGATCTACATACGTAATAGCACATACATGCAAAAGATATGGTATCTCTTAAATAGAACCTCTCTCTCATGGACTGATATGTAATTGAAACAAAAAAAAGCTTAATATGTTTTCTACTTATAACACATCTAAGAGACAAAAAAAAAAAAAATTGTGTCACATCATTCTTACAGCATCACTAATATAACAAATACACAAGACATATTATATACCCAATTTGATGGCCCCAAGCTAGCTTAACCTGACAAATTATAGAGTTATTATGCATAATATTACCTGAACTTTTGACACCTAATAGGTGCTTGTACAGACGAGTTGATTTTTACGGTAATGGTTCACTAAATTTGCTCTGAATTGGTTCGGATATTTTCTGAAACAATGTTTTGTTATTGGTTCCACTTCTGTAGATGTATGATTAAAAAATCAAGAAATTTTCTTGGATTTGGAGGTTTTTTTCTTTCTATTTAAAATGCTGTTTAGAAGTGATTATATTTGAAGAAAAGAAATGAAATATTGGTATTGGTGAGAAGCAGAATCATTAAATAATTACTTGTCTGTACTTAATTTTTTTAAAAATTTGAAAATTATTCTGGGTATTTACGTAAAATTATTAACTTTTTTCTATAGAAACAAAAACAATTTTAATTAAAAAAATGAAATATTAAAGTTGGTAACCTATTAAAATTATTGAGTAATTACCATACACGCCCTGGGCTGTACTTGATACACGCAGGTATGTGAGGCAGCAGATTCAGGTTTGCTAACTCGCACTGAATTCAACTCAAATCGGCTTAGTACAAAGATCTGAGCTTCTTGTGTCATATAAGTAACACGTACTTGAAGATAGCCCCAGAAATAAAACCCTGAACTCTGAGGTCAACTGGAAGTTATTTGATAGCCAGAGTCTGCAGATCATGTTTGAAATATATACCATTGAATTGATATCTTTGTGGAAAGGAACCACACATCAAAAAGGATTTTTTTATCAACTGAAAGATAGTTTTGAAAATCATAAATTTGCAAGTCATACTTATTACACACACACACACAGGAATATTTAATTTTCATTATTTCTTTTCTTGTGGAACCAGACATGGAAGACTTTCTTTCCTCTTTTTATTTAAATGGTCCTCTTACTTACCACATTGTCATATCATAAAGACAGTCTGGAACCTCACACCTACATTGAAAGCTTTCTTAGCATCTGCATTGACTGTATTCCAGTTGTCATATCCCTTACATGTCTGACATCAGAACCATCACTTTCACAATCATTGACATTAACAGCATTCCACATATCAGACAATAAACGTATAAATGCTCATGATGGTTTCCTTTGAATTTTGAATGCTGTTAATCTAAAAAAAAGCTATTAGGTGTTACATTTCATAGCCAGAACTAAATGCCTAGATTATGTGATATGGAGAGAGAGAGAGAGAGAGAGAGAGAGAGGTGTGTGTGTGTGAAAGAGAGAGAGAGAGTGTATGTGTGTGTGTGTGTGAGAGAGAGAGAGAGAGAGAGAGAGAGAGAGTGTGAGAGAGAGAGAGAGAGGGAGAGAGAGAGAGAGATAGAAATATGGCAGCACAGGTAACCTAAAAAGACTGGAAGTATTTAATCATTTGCTGTACTGCTGAGGTAATATCAACAGAACTGTTTCTTAAATAGCTCCAAATATTAACCTCACTGGGTGCAGATTCCACTGGCATTAGTCGTGCTGTTATTACGAAAAATACCGGTTACCAATGGAACGAAAACATTAAACATGCTTTAGTCTGTCGACTTACACTAAATGATGAGAGACTGGGATGACTTACACTGGGATGAGAGAGAGAGAGAGAGAGAGAGAGAGAGAGAGAGAGAGAGAGAAAGGTGTTGGATGACAGAGAGAGAGAGAGAAAGAGAGAGAGAGAGAGAGAGAGAGATGTTAGATGACAGAGACGCTCGATGAGAGAGAGAGAGAGAGGTGGGAGGTTAAAAGCATACATTTCTCATATTATCAACATAAACCTTGTTTTGAATTTTATAAAAATAAGTGAGGAAAAAATCAACTGTCTACAAGTTTTACTTAAGAAAATCCATCATAAGTCAGTGTGGTCAAGAAAAACATTGACATCATTACTTGTTTCCACATCATATTGTTTTTTCAAGTGGCATCTTCTTCTTGTACAAGGAGAATCACTCATGTCACTTATATAAGCTACATGTAATGGCTAGGGTGTGTAAACTTATTTAGCAATCTGAATGATATTGTTAAGTTCCCCTTTGGCTTTTCAGCCTGCGTATGGCTAAGTTTGACATTGATGTGATATAAAAAGTATAAAAAATATAGTCATGCCCCCTTCAATGAAAAAAAGTCAGAAAAACATACATGTTTTTGCTCTATTTAATAATAACACTACTTTTTGTGATGAGAGAACAACCTGCAAACATACTGCCTATATAGTGACTTATATTCACAGATGAACAAAATATATAAAGAAAGGGCGTAATTATGAAAGGTGACTGGAATGTAGCTCCGAAATTAATAAGAGAATTAAAATCACCACCAGACATAAAATATGAGTTAAAAATAGTAACTATAATGCAAGGAAAAAAAACTGAAAACATAACATATACCACATGGCTTCAGGTTTGGTTCAAAAGAGCAAAGTGTGGATTTACTGTTAAAATGTATTCTTACTGTGTATGGTAATTACTAGATCTTTTCAACAGGGAGAAAATTGTGAATCTTACAGATGCTTTTCAAGTCATAATTTCTTAAAATTAGAACATTCTATTTGAGTGGTAGCAACCAAACTAAAAAGCAGGCTACCTTATAGTTATATTCTATACAAAAAAAAAAAAAAAAAAAAAAAACTACAGATGCTGCACAGAAATATATAAACTGGCAATTTTTCCCCAGTTGAAAAGAAAGGAGAAATTACCATCATTTTACCCTCGATTTTCCAGTGAGTACTGCTGCTCCTCTTTCTTTTCACATTAATTCAAAGATGTGCAGTGCTGTAAGGGGTGTGTTCAGTAACACATGTTAACATTATCACTGGTAGACATGAAATCGGAGGTGAAAGACATTGCTTGACGTGCCAACTTGGGGGAATTCTAATCAAAATTCCTGGGAGCCAGATATACATACTGTTATTTTCACCAGATGATACTGAGTGTGCCTAAAATTAGACAAGACTTGCGTCATTTGTGGTAGATTTCTGACTTTTTAAGTATGTTTATCTTCATTCAAGTAACTATCCACTCAGTAGAAAAGATTTGAAATGTTTTCTGACTTCAATTTTTTTTTTTTTTTTTTTTTTGAACGATAAATTTTTCAAGATCTGGTTAAAATGTGTGTCTAATCAGTCCAAGGCACTGCCAACAATTTTAAGAGTCTGAATTTTGAATTAACAGTTAGTGTAGCAAGAAGTCCTCCAGTGCAACAATTTTTATAACTACCTCTGGTTGGGTTGTCTGGCTGTTTTTAAGTGTTTACAGCATGTCAGTATTACCACCTAGATGTGGCCAGATACTTTGATGATAAAAGATTATTGAAGGCTGTCCAGTTTCTGCTTGCCTATCATCATTACTCACTGACACTTAGCAAGATTATTATTTTTTTNTCGTTGCGTCCCATTCACTCGTACTTTGAGTTTGTCCACTATCAATTTAGCGGTTTTGTCCCCTGCGGCCTTGGCCTTCTTCAGAACTGGGTACAACTCCTTGCGTCGTCGCTCAATTTCATGCGGAAATTGTTCTGAGATGCCGTAGTGGAGACCAGCTGAATTTTTCTTACCCCTAAGCCTGTAGGCGCTGTTCATGACAAGCATTCTACCTTTGTAGGGATTGAATTTGGCGATAATAGGCCTTATTTTTCCCTGTTTGTTCTGTGGTCCCACTCTATGAATCCGGTCAATCTTTACTGAATGTCTTGGGTTTGGAATAGAGAGCTGAGTTTCTAGAAAGTTATAAAAGGCGTTCTCCGTTTCAGTGGGTGTTTCATTCTGTTTTTCCTCAACGTTATATATCAAAAGATTGTCTCTCATACTGCGTGTTCTCATCTCTAACAGTTCCGCATCTAGAACCTTTTGGCGCTCAGTATTTATATTTGATTTGTTTTCAATGACTTTAATTCTTTCTTTCAATAGTTCATTTTCCTTCTTCAGCGTATCCACTTCATTTTGCGTCAAAGTTAAACTTAAAGTAAGGTCACTGACTTTATTCAATAGTTCGTGTAAGATACTTTGGTTTGCTTCCGACATAGCCGCAATTTTGTCAATGGACGCGAGGCGTTTATCTATTGTAGATAGTATCGTTTGAAATTTACCCGTACCTTCTATAGATGGTGAGGTGTCATCTGGGCTGATTTCGCCTGAATGTTCGTTTGCGCTTGTGTAGTCTTCGAGGCATAGTGGGCTGCCCATCCTGAGTTTCTTTGCTATGTCATTATTTCCCGGTGAGGGATTTGATTCATGTCTTTGTCTCTTGTCAGCCTGCAAATCCGGAGTATCCATTGTTCTCTCATTTTGTTTTTTCTTCGCCAGTTTGTTACTGATAGTAAACATTGTGTCCTAGTATTGTTTCTCCGTACTTTTTGCTGATGTTACCGCAAACCTTATTTTAGTATCTCATAGTTTTTGTTACTTTTGATAGCTTTTTTTGGAAGAGCTATGAAATACGTCTTACTCATCTCGCGCATGCGCCACTCCCCCTTAGCAAGATTATTAATTTGACAATTATCCACCAATTAGTTTAATTTGAATGATGAAGTCTTTTAATTAAAGGTGTTTAATTAAAGGTTGCCATACAGGAAATGTGTCACCAGGGCTGGGTGTGTGTAATTATGGTATTTTGTCTCATTAAGGACAGGTAAATGGACTGTTTATCTTACGACCAATATATCATCTTGACATCTACCTTGTAGTCCCTAACAGTACATGTTAATTCCTCTGTATAGACATGATCCATATATTGTTTTATCAAAAGTCTAACAAAAAGAGAAAAAGTGGATAATTTTAATGAATTGATGGCATTATTACATAAGTGCATTGATAAATGAATGAAGACAGGAAAAAAGTTACAATAAGAATCAGAACCATATTTTACTTAAATAATACAGAAATGAAGTATTGTCTCTAACATAGATGTATTATAAACAAGCACAATTACAGGAATGTAAACAGACTTTTCCACTTTTCTACATTAACCTTCAAACGAAATATGTTTTTGTATGTTGAAATGCATAACAACTACATGTTAGCATGAATACTACACTGGAACTTTCCCTTCCTCACTTATAACAGCTCAAACATTTCACAGTTGCTGTTGGGGGAAAAATTCAAGCATCATTACAAGGCATCATAAACCGACACAACCATATTTACAAAGAACAAGTCAAATCTGACTACAAAACCAGTTATAAATTCCTTGCACAACCTCAAAGTAATTGGGTTTTAAATGACATTTGATTTAAGTAGTAAGTATTGCAACAAAATACTCCCATGTCATGTATTACCAGTGACTCAACAATATTGACCTTTTTCTACTTGTTTGTGTACCAAATTTAAGAATGTAATGAAGAGAATTTGCTCAGTTTGTAAGTATGCATATGATTGTACTTTTAATTTTTTGATCTCATTTACAATGTTTCTTATCTGTCAAAGAAATTTGAATGTAAATTGTTAATTGATTTTGGAAATTCATTTGTTTTATTTGTTTTACTACTTGAATGAACATTTTTGATGGGATATCATGTCACAAACCATAAAAAGATGTAATGTTCAGAATGCTTGTTTGTTAGTCTTTATTTCTGATTTATGGTCATGATATGAATTGAATTAATCTTTACCTCTCAGTTTTTACTTAGTTTTTTGATAACTTTTTTCATTGTAAAGTTTTCATAAACTATATACAATTCAATATATATCCAGGAACAAAAAGAAAAAGAAAGAGAAATCAAGGAACAGGAGAAAGACCAGAAGAAGACACAGCCCCATTCTCAACCAGCACAATCTCAATCTCACCAAACACAATCGCTGCAGCACTCGCAGCAGAGACATCCACGGTTACCTCAGTCCTCACGCGTACCTAAGTTTTACTTTCCCATGGGACCGCCTGTGGCGCGGGAAGAGAATGACGCCATGCTGCAGAGAGTGGCCGAAGTTTTTTCTGCAGCAGAAGGAGCGAAGATTTATAAACATCAGATGGAGATGGTGACTAAAGTGAGTAGGATGTTTTAAGAATTTAAGATTATAATTTTTTGATTTAATTATTTATTTTGAAACCAGCTCTCTCAGAGTACTTTGATTATGCAAAATGAAAATAATGATTAAAGAAAATTTGAAATAATTGTTTTAAAAGACCTTAGGAGACCCAGATTTAGTTGCTATTGTAATCATTTCTATATCCTATCAAAATGACAGTCTATTCTTAAAATTTTATCAACATTGCTGAAAAACTTTTAACAAGTGAATAAACCAACACCAGTGAAAAAATGATTTCCTTTGGAAAGGAGGCACATTTACTAGGAGCAGATGGTTGTGTTCAAACAGATAACAGAAAAGGAAAAAAAGCGCTTAACCTTTTGGTAGAAACACAAACAGATAAAATCAAAATGCCATCAAGCACCTCAAGAGACAGGTGGATAGCTAGATGTGATAGACTCAGTTTAAAACCAGGACACAGATTTCCACCACACCTGCTTGGTATCAATACACTTTAGGTAGACTGGTAACTTTATAACTTCACTCTCCACCTGGTGCTGTCAGAGCCAATAAACTGACCGATTTGAACTGGTTTCCCCCCATGCCCTTATTTGAGAGAGTTTCAGTTTTCAAGCACCTGGTGTAATTGCTTAAATAAGCGTGGTTTTGATTAAAAGGGAAGTAGAACTTTGCTGATATTTTTTCCAAATGTTGGAAAGCATTTAAGTGCTTTTTTGTGGATTTTTCAAGTCTGGTTTAAAAAAAAAAAAAAAAAAAAAAATATATATATATATATATATATATATATATATATATATATATATATATATATATATATATATTTGTTTTACAATCCATTTTGTAATGTATTTTTCTAAAAGAATCAGCCAGGCAGCTAAGCAGTGTCTGATGCAGATAGGTTGTGCACTGACTAGGAAATATGACAGTTTAGTCAGATGTGACAGTTGAGATAGGGCATTGTGTTAAGATGTGATTCTTGGAGAAAATATTATAAAATTGTAACACAAGATTATATATGTGGAAATTAAATTGCTCAAGCAGACTTGTTAAATGGTAATTACGTGTATTTTATTTTTTTATTTTAACTTTTTCCCCTTAGGCCTGTGATGTACCATTCTATTGGAAAAGTCTCATATTCAACTCAGCTGGAGGAGATAAATATGGGTTTATTACACTACAGTCTTTCACTGTTTTATGGAAAAAGTAAGTTAAACCCAAACTGTGCAGATTAACATAACAGTAGATAAAATGTCAAATGTTTCATAAAGATATTTAGTCGCAGCTTTTTAATGCAAGTTTCTGAAACACTCCCTTCCACAGATACCATTTATGCGAGGGGTTATTCCTTTTAGAATACTTTTTTTAATGATGAATTTACTATGCCATTATATTTTGATGACTAATGACTAAAAGATGTTAATGAATTCTTGTTTCAGACTTACTGCCAATTGCCATGACGATGCAGCAAGATTTGTCAGTCTTTTAGCAAAACCAGGGTGCTTTTATCTGACTACAGAGGAGTTTGTGCCATTAATACAGGTAAAATCACCCCCATCTCTCTCTCTCTCTCTCTCTCTCTCTCTTGATATTTAAAATAAAATGTTTAACTTTATCCACAATTAAGTTTTTCCAGTGGGTGTCAGTATTCTTTGAATTAAGACTTTAAGTATGGTGGTTATATGACGCAAACTGTTACTTAACCAGGTGAGAGAGGAAGTTGACTGCAATCAGCAGAGAGATCTGCAGGTGTGAAAACAGTTCTGTTGATCTTACCTGTCAGTTAGTGTCAACTTGTTCTAGGGTCACTATTAAGTTCTGCTGTGGAGATAAGAATCTTGAGAAGACCAGATCAAGATGGTGGTTCTTTTCAAAACAGTACAACCAGTTAGTGTCACACTATCTTGTAGTCTGGCTTAATCTCTTGTCACTTTACTTGAATATTTACAGATACAGTGATATTGGCTCTGAGATTTTATTGCCTCAGGTGGCTTTACTGTGGGACAGTTAGTGTCATGTATGGTGTCACCAGGTGCCAAATAGAGGTCCCACCTTCTTTGTCAGATAAGATCCATTGTGCTTAAATATTTGTTGTTTGTGAAGTTCCCTGTGTATTTATAGCCTTTAATTAGTCAGAGCGTGAACAACATTGCTTCTGTTTTTCCTCCATTGCTCATCCTGGCAAGTCACCTGCAGGGTCCTGACACATTTTTATCAACCAATTAAATTTAGGTATTAGGGTCACATGATATGTTAGCAGGTGACATAGTTTTTCACTTTTTCTCCAATGTGTTGTTGATTGAAAGCATTTCCAGCCAATCAGGGATTGAAGTAGGTCACCTTAGCCAATCAAATAAGAGAGGAGGAACTTGTTGACACATGTCACCAGTGTTTTCTTGTTTGGCTGGTTTAAAAAAGGAGGGGAAGACATTTGTGGCATCACTTCAGTGGCAGACACTGACACCTCTATATTGGTTAACTGACAGAATTTAGGTTTTCCTCCATTTGTCTCTCAGTTCAAGATCAAGGCGTGCGTTGCTAAACGTACACTGTGTAATCTTATAATTCAGCATGTCTCTACATAATATGTATGAAGAATCTGAAGGAGGGTCCAACATCCATGGTAGTATAGAGAACGACTATCTGACTGAGAGTGATGGAGACCAGCTGAGTGAAAAGATAGATATGGCCAGTGACACAGTCGCTCTGCTCAGTGCCCTGGCGAGGGACCTTCGCGTCAGGTATGAGAGGGCTCAGAGAACCAAGCGGAACAGCTACCTGTGCAAGCTACGTATCTTGTTGATAGCCATTCAGGGCCTGAGGGACACCTTCTATGAGTACACAGTGAGGAAGTGTGACGAGCTGGAGAGAATAGAAAGGAGAGTTGAAGTTGAGCAGGGGCTACAGTCACTAGACTATCATGATGACACTGACTCAGACTTAGATGATTACGATGAGTACTAGTTTGTCACTCAATCTTGGCTTCTCAACATGGTGTTTATGATCACTAGATACTGGATGGCTTTTAGGAAAGAGAGAGAGAGAGAGCAAGATAGTTTATCTAGCACAGATATTGACCTGTTCAGTGCAGTAACAAAGGCCCTTTTCAGGGCCACTATCACTTCCCAGAAAAGCTAAAGCCAATTTGCCCAATTTAAAAAGAAAGATTTTTTTTTTCTGATTTTTTTATTCATTTTTAAAAATATTTATTTCAGATTTAACAGATACCTGCCTTGCACCAGAACTCACATATTAAAATATTTTAGAATTATTTTCTTTATAACCACTGTTTCCTTTGTTTTCATCATACCAGTAGGTAAAATTCTTGAATTTATTGTTCCAGGATGTTGTGGACACACATCCAGGGCTCACTTTTTTACAAGATGCACCTGAATTCCACTCTAGATATGTACACACAGTGAGTAACATGAGATTTTACGCTGAAATAATAAAGATAATAATTATTGATCTATAGAATAACCTTACTGATTTCAGAAGTGTTGAGAAGGGGGGGGAGCTGAAGAACCTCCCTTTTAATCAGGGAGGCCCATATTGAATGGAAATTTGATCTACATTTTATGTGGTTTAGCACTTTGCATCCACAAAGGGGGATAAAAAAAGTTTGCACAAAAAGTTCACAAAAAAAGTTCTTTTCATACAAAGAAGACCCCCCCCCTAAATTTGCTGGCTTGGTTGTAAGGATAAGGGGACAGAAGGAGAGATGTGTCTTAGTTTATGTTGATGTTGGATACTGAACATATATTACTAGTTATAACTTTCTTTGCATATTTTTATTGCTCAGGTTAACATAAACATATTGATTGTTTTCAAAATTAATTGTTTTAGAGCTTCAACTTTCTGTCAGTCTTCTCCTTAGATATACCTGAGAATACTTCTAACATTGTTTCAGTATTCATATTTTATTTTGAAGCATTTGTTCCCACAGTTGTTGTACAGTGCTTAACAGCCTCATATGTATCTTAATTGAAATGATTTCAGGTAATAGCTAGGATATTCTACTGTGTAAATAGATCCTGGTCAGGTAGAATAACAGTACACGAACTGAGGAGAAGTAGCTTTCTGCAGGTGAGGAAGTGAAATCACATTATTACCTCTGCAAAGAAGGTCATGTTTTTGGTTCCTTTACTTTGTTTGTTAGCAGTGTCATACAAAAATTTATAGGAATATTACAGTAAAAAATTAAAGGTATTTCTGAAATGGCCCATGGAACTAATGATGAGGTCTTGGTGATGGTCCATTTATTAAATAATGGCTGATCATTAATTCCTTTTTTTTTTTTTTTAGTCTTGTTGGAGGTTTGCGCTCTGTGAGTGCTTTTCATAGCATAGAAATAGTTTTCTGGTAGGGAAAAACTTAATAATTCGTCTGCTGAACTTGTGTGGAAGATGTAAAAAGCTGTAACAAAATAACTTTTTGGGTGTATGGACATTTTTATGCAGTACCAGTTACAGTAGGAAATATTCAAAATTTATCAACTTCATTGCTCCTTACAGGTTTTATCAATATTAGAAGATGAAGAAGACATCAACCAAGTCACAGAATATTTCTCCTATGAACATTTTTATGTAATCTATTGTAAGTTCTGGGAGTTAGACAAGGACCACGATCTCTACATCAACAAGGAGGATCTGGCCAGACACAATGATCATGGTGAGTAGTGTCCAAAATGGACTATAGGTTGCACTGTTGTGAATGTGAAACTGAAATAATGTGTCTCTTGACTTTGTTGCCAAGTTTTTAATTTTGACTTGCTATTGCTTATAGTAATTATTGAAAGTCTTATTATTAAAAAAATTCTTTGTTTATTGTGATTTTTATTTGAAAAGTTTTAATTTGGTTTTTGTTCTGTTCCAGCAATCTCTACACGGATGATAGACAGGATTTTCTCTGGTGCTGTGACGAGAGGCAAGAACATTATGGAAGGCAAGATGAACTATACAGACTTTGTCTGGTTCCTGCTGGCGGAGGAAGACAAAAGACAGCCCACCAGGTCAGCCATCTTGTTATTTTCATCACTAGGGATTTGATTCATCAGTTGTTGGTTGTGTTATTTATGTTTCCTTATTTAAATTCAGTCACAATGATATTTGTCATAAACAAAATACTGGCTAAACTTTTCTTGTTTCTTTCCTTTTGGATTTTATCTTTTTTTTTTTTTTTTCATTTTTTTTTTCATAAGCTTCTTACAGATTATTTGGCAGTGTATTTTTATTTCATTAACTTCACAGAGTGCTGTAATTTTCATGATTAAATTGTTAAAACTCATTTACTTTATTACATGTAGAATATCAGTTTGGTGTTCCTCAAACATATTCCAAAATTCAAAAAATTCAATCTGCAGCATCGAATACTGGTTCCGCTGCATGGACCTGGATGGGGATGGCGTCCTCTCCATGTATGAGCTGGAGTATTTCTACGAGGAACAGGTTCAGAAGATGGAGGCAATAGGAATAGAGCCACTGCCATTTGAGGACTGTCTATGTCAGGTAAAATACAGTGTATATACTGCAATGTTACCGTCCCAAATACAAAGTTTTGATATGTATACACTTTCTTTTGTGATGTGTTTGTGAAGACATTGTTTGAAAAAAATAAAGATAAAAATAGTAAGTCTTTAGTAATACAACATAGCCTTTTAACTGATGTTTGGTTTACTTGAAATATTTTTTTGCTGACATTTGGTATTTATAAGCATGTTTTAAAGCTGCTTTAAACTAGATGTTAGTTTCAATCTAAGACCATTTGTCAATGACAAAAAATAAAATGTCATCTTGATTACAGATGCTGGATTTAGTAAAACCAAGGGACACCACAAAGATCACATTGGGAGATTTGAAGGCATGCAAGCTGACACATATATTCTTTGATACTTTCTTCAACCTTGAGAAATACTTGGACCATGAGCAGAGAGATCCATTTGCCAATGCTAGGGTGAGTGTGGTAGTTGAGATTAGGTTAAGAGGTGGGTGTGATAGCAAGGATGGCTGAATTGTGTTAGGTGTGACAATGGAATTCTGGGAGTTTTTCTGTTGCTAACTGAATTAGTTGGAATAGAATAAAATGTGGTAGATTATGAAGGGTTGTAAAACAGGCACAGTGATTTGATGTCATGTGAAGAGGTCTGTTTAAATGTATAAGGCAATATCAATTATGTCGTTTTTAAGCATACTTAAAATAAATTCAACCATCATGTCATGAAATTGGATTTATTGTATTTTAAATATCTCAAACACAGTTAAAGGATTTTTTAAATATTGTTTTTGCTTATATTTGAAGCACAAGTAGCACCTGATTATTTTAGTAGTAGGTTTAGATTCAGTTTGATTTTTCATTATTTTTTGCATTTTCATTTACACTGTCTCAATTTGTTGCTGACTTCTAATTGTCTGACCCTCATCAGACCTAGCTACCTGTTGTCCATACATTCACAATTGATATGTTATCACATAACCCACCGCTGTCTCCCCCAGGACCTGGACAGTGAAGGCCCAGAGGTGTCTGACTGGGACCGCTACGCCGCTGAGGAGTACGAGATCTTGGTGGCTGAAGAGGGAGGCGTAGAGAACCCTGATGATATGTGAGTTTACTCTGAGGCTTGTTTATTTACTTTATCCTGATGTATGGGAGACATTTGACAGAGCACCTTGTGGACAGTTTTACTGAAATTTTTCTGTGAAAAAGATACATTGTATCAAGATTAGCTAAGAATAATTTACCATGAAATTGGGTACACTGTATTGATTTTTCTTGAGGTTACCTTTGAGTAAATTTTGCAAATGGGGTATAATCTTAAGAAAGCAGTAAGTTTTCACTTCAAACTGATTATTGTGCATGTGCAACTGTTTATATGATAAAGAAAAGTAGACTTGAAAATATTGTTTTAAAAACTTTTATCTAAAGTAAATAGTTTAATTGGAGCATTTTGTTGTATTTTCCCAGTCAATATGAAGATGACTTTGAACCAGATGAGGATGAACTTGTAGCACTGGAAGCAGAAAAACTCCAACTTTTGGACCCACCCATTAAAAAGGGGAAGCCAGCGGGTGTCTCGGACATAGAAGATGACCTATATGACTTCACTAATGAAGACCTGGGCTACTGACAATGACACAGTTAATTCAAGGTGAAGCTCTAGTAAGGTAGACCTGTATGTCACAGTACTGGATGGCATTGCGATTAAAGATCCTGCTATGAAAAAGTTCACAGTTGCAAAACTGTCTGACACTGAGGATCGCCTTTACGGAAGATTTGAGCAATTGTTGGTCAAATAAGATCTCATAAATAAACAGTAAAATTGATACCTGTGAAGAAGATGTCTGTCCTTTGTTACTTACACTTCATAAACCTGTGAAGTTCTACAGATGTTAACAAGGTATGGAATAGTATAGAATTTGTCCCACTTTACTATGTAGACGTGTAGGAATGAGCCTGTAATTCTACAAATCACTGTTGTTAACATGACACAGAATAGAGATCTTTCCACTTTTCCACCTAAGACATGAAATGGTGGACTTAAAAATGCTTACAAAAGAAAAAATCACTTATGTTGGAGGATTATCATACTGCAAAATTGCAATCCTCATGGACAAGAGCTTTGTATGCACTGTACTCATGGATAAGTATCAAGCAATGAGTAAAAAGTACACTGTTGACATCAAGCATAATGGGGTGTGCCCTGGATCTTTGTGACCTCAGTCATTTATTTTATGTAACAACAGGAAGGTAAATAGCAGTGAAAAACTGATTTAGTCAAAGATGAAGATGGCTATCAATATGTCAAGCTGCAGTGATGGCTTCAAGGTGTTAGACAGTCTAAAAACCAGAGCCACCATTACCAACACTTGACTGGTTTAAGTGATATAATGTAGCTGAGGGTGCAGCTACAGTGGTGCCATCTATGATTGTGTTCAGGCCTGTATGCCAAAGATAAAAATGGCTGTCAAGAAAGTGCATGGCAAAGATTTTTTTAATGCGTGTGTCAAAAATCTAGCCAATTTAACCAATGGTTACTTGAGTGGAAAGTAATTAAAGAAAAAAAAAACAACGGGCAATATTGTATATCTCATTATTAGATAAATTATAAATCATCAGCCCATTTCTATAGAATTGTCAGCTTTGGATAAGATGGAAAGAACTGATATTAAGTTGAAATTAATTGTTTGAATCTAAGAGATAAATGGAAAAAAGTTAGTATTAATTATATGGTGTTATAACAGCAAACATCTTAGAACTTAATTATTCTGAATAACATAAAACTAGACAGAACTCTGTCACCTGAAAGGTGAAAGTATAAAATGAAAGTGATAAAAACATGAAGTGGCCTTAATCCCCATATCAGGTACCTTTTATGCTGCTTATTTCTTAAAAATGCATACAGCAGATATAGGAAAAACACCCTGTAGAGAGTTGAGAGTGGTTTGTATACAGTATACCATCTTAAGTGCTGAAATGTTCATGGTCATAGATGAGATAGTAACTTTAGGTGTCCATGCTGTTTTTTTTTTTTTTTTTTTTTTCCTTTTTTCATAGCCAATACGTTTTTTTTTTTCTTTTTATTTGTTGATATTTACTAAAATGGTGACAGTTTGATGAAAATCATTGCATTTGTTATTATCATATTATTATAATGATAATTATTAGTAAAATATTTGAGCCATTATACATTATCCTTAATTGAGGAAACCTACACATGCTACCTTAAGCCTTAAAGAGGAAATTCAATTCTCAACATGGAATCCCTCTTTTTACCATCCACTATAGTTTTCAAAGTTTGATAAGGTAAAAATGATAATCAGGCTCATTTTTACTGCCTTTCATGTGGCGTTCATTTTTGTAAAATATTGTTATGTATTACTTACCTTTAAACTTTGGTTATGTTGTTGCATTTGAATGTTGAATTGTTTTGTAATGCAGCTAATATTTTTAACTGCAAGTTAGTGCATAACTTGCAAGTAATTTTTATTTATTTGTACTTGTCATCAGTCAAACTAAGACATCTTCAAGGTAGTAAGTTATAGAAGATGGTGCCAGTATATATATAGACAATATTGTGCAAAAGATTGTTTTAAAGGATAATGTGTAACAAAAGGCATTATGTAATTATTCAGGGAGGACATGAAAGAAAACGAGAAGTTTTATGAGTAATTGCATGTAATATCTTTTAATATTGAATTGAAATTATGACAAAGATTGTAAGATGTAAACTTTTGAATTTAAGATCTGTAGAAGTGCTGTAATAAAGGTATTCTGAAGGTTTGAACACTATTAATAACGTGATCGAAAGCAAAATGCTTGCTGTCATACTTATGAGGACTTCTGTTTTTGAATAACTAATGAGTTTGAAGTAATTGTGTAATATTAATAACTTATTGATGACATCATAATTTATTTGTGATGTCATACTGTATATGTGACATCACAAATTTTTGTATGTATTTTCAGTTGAGGTTGCTTGTGCAGCCGATGTAAGTGACAGTTTTTCCAATTAAGCAAACATAATAAACTTGTTTGTTATGAAAGAGGATGTTTTAGTATTATTTATTATTATTATTTTGTTTGTTCAATCACATGTTGTTGTTATAACTGATACAATTATCCAATATCTTGCAAAACAAAGCCAATCCACTCTATTCAGTATGTATTATTTCGTTAGAAATGAAAGCAAAACACATGAGTACTATACCATCTTTATTTGCAACAAAACATTTAACTTTTAAAACACTATTTTATACATCACTGACTGTATGTTTTCAAATGAATTCCCCCGTCTCGCATTACCAATTATTCATAAGTACATAAACTATTGCCTGAAATTTGCAAGCAAAATAAGATTTCAACTTCATGAATATATAATAAATTAATAATATAATAAGTTGGCCCAGGGTTACCACATTAGCGAGTCTTGCCCTCTACCTTGGCCGCGCATTATTAGGTGCACTTTTTGCCAACACGACAGTGAAGATATGTGCCATGTATTACCCAGAAACACATTTGTGAACATTAGTGAAATATCAATTTGTTGGCCTGGTGGAGGGTAACCGTGTCTGGCCTGGTTGCTCGTCTTTGGATACATGTAGTCATAGACTGCTTTTTACTCGTACAAAACAATCTAAAAATATATCTTCAAAATTTATAATGGAGATTGCTCTAGACGAAATAATGACTTCCAGTTCGGCTTGTTATAGGTGCAGTAAATATTTAAATACCCATATAAATGTTAATCAAACTCCATATCATCATTGTCTTTTTTATATACGCATTCAATGTTTGATGAAGATATTGCAAAGAACGTGTAATATTGCATGCCATATTATAAACTACAAATGCACCTTCCAAAATAAGACACCAAACCGGAGAAAAGCACATGTTCATTATGTCAAAAATATAGAATATTCCTTGATCATAAAATAGAAGATTTAACATATAAAATAGAAGTATTTATCATATATAATTCCAAAGGTATAGACAACACAGGTGATCGTTTTAACCACAATAAAAAATCAGTGTTACATATCTAGATATTACATAACGGGAATATTAAAGTAATGTTATCCAGTGCAAACAACAAAGATTTCAAAAACAAATAATCGCCGAAGGTTCTATAAGGTCCACTCTGATCTCCTCTGGGAGATATATTTTCTGATTACATTTTCATTTTCTCATGCAAGTAAAGAAAAAAAAACACAGAGGAGATCAGTTTGATGTCGCCAACATAGGTCAAACAGAAGTGTTATGCAGCTTTATGCATATTATTAGTGTTGTTAAACACAGGAACCGTTCACTTGCGCTAGGTCTTAACCCGTGGGTATTTTCGTTACCCGTGAAAGCTACTTTTTATTTCCAGACATGCGTGAGACGTTTGTTAAGATACTTCATTTCATGTAGCGTGATTTGTGAAGCACATCATTCACGCAACTCGTAAATGAGACTTCTTATTCTCTGCCCCTCGTGAAATGAAGTCATTATACACGACGATTTGTGATTTTCAGGATTTCTGATTGGCATTATCAGTGAGATATTTTATTAAAATAAAGTTTTATTTACTAAAATTTGTGAATTGATCGTTTTGTTTCCCTAGAAATTGTGATCACTCCCTGTCAGGAACCAAAAAATGGAAAAAAGTACTAATTACACTTTTTTCTATTTTGTGGTTCCTGACATACCCAATCCCAATGGGAACTTCTGTTAAGGGCCAAGTCAAGAGTTCGTTTGCAGAGGCTCTGGATAAAATCATTTGTACTTCTGTATACTGTTCCTCACCACCACTTCTATTTATTCGCGATTTTTAAAATTTAAAATTTTTAAAACTGTCAAACCGTGCTGCCAATTTCAACTTATCGTTGCTACTGCCAGATCATGATGGTGCTCATACGTGGCCTCACGTGCAGTGAAGGGGCGGGGCTCCACGGTGATGGACGCGGCGACTCGACCTTGACCTTGAAGTGACGTCATGTTGCTGCTGCCAGCAAGAGGCGAGACTGAGGTAGTCGGGTTGAGTTGATTGATCTGTATGGTGTCTGCATCCACATAGGCGATGGCGTACACCTATTGTAATATGGTCAGTATGTTCAAACAAACTTTGTTATATCAGTTTCAATACTGGTATAATTATAATAATTATGATTTTAGCTGTTATTTGTATTCTTGTTATTGTAGTTTAATCACACAAGTAATATATTTTCCATAAATGTTAAATTTACTAAAATAATGAAAATAAATAAATAAACAAAAAACTGAAAATTGAAAAGCATTTTTGTGACAAAATTCAAACTTAGTTGTAATTAATAAATAAGTAAGTAGATAAATAATAATAATACGTTTAAATACTAACCTTAGGCGCATACAGAAAAGCCAGCACAACTGTCGCATTCAGAATCAGTGCCACTGAGAGCAGCACCACCCTGAAGTAGGCCGCAGACGTGGTGAAGTAGGTCGGGATGAAGGCTAGCCAGATCACCAGGGTCGTGTACACACACATCGAGATAAACTTGGACTCGTTGAAGTTGTCTGGCAGTTTTCGCGTTTTGAAGGCGTAGAAGCTGCACATGGCGACAAGGAGGATGTTATAGGCAAGGGATGCGACGATGCCTTGTATGGGGAGCTTGCAGAGGAGTTCGACGAATTTTTCCGTCTTGACTGGCATGCGTTGTTCTATACCAGGAGGGTTGACCGCTGCTGTGATGATGCTTATGATAACCTGAGCGAAACCAATGGTGAAATCGAAAGTGAAAGTGCAAGTAACTTGATTAAAGGCACATTCAGTTTTTAAAAGTCCACTGAACCACTTTGTTTAATATTGAATTCGACTAAAATTATTGAGAAAATTATAAAAAAAAATAGCAATGAGTAAAAGCGTTCTGTACCTAGCGCCTATGTGGTTTATAGAAGACGGATAACTTTAAATATTTATCAATTTATGTAATTATATAACAAATTAGTAAATAATCAAATATTAATTAATTTGTAGGAATAATTTAAATATGATAATGTATTACCTACCTCTATCGTAATCAGCAAAGACGCTATAATCACTTGGGATCGGGGACTAACCAGTGGCGGCCTCTTTTTGGTCTTTTTGCCCGATGCAAAAATGCGGTAGATGCGATTCGTGCGCGTGAAGAGTGGCGCGTAAATCCAAGCGAAACTGAGGCTGAACCCGAAGTGCTCGACGTAACAGAAATGGTCCTCTGGCTTCGCAAGGAAGAAAATGGCGGTCAGGTAGCTGACGAACACCCCAGTGAGGATGAGGTAGGCTAGCTCTCTGCTGCAGGCTTTTATCAGTTTAGCGTTATTATGTCGAATGAAGAAGGCTAGAATGAACGCTGCCAGGATGATGCCGATGATGCTGAAGGTGAGTATCGTGATAGCTAAACTGTCCCCCCATCTCATGTGTTCTGGTTGGACGCTCTCGCATGACGTCAGACTTTCGACCGGCCACATCAGTTCTGGACACTCTTTGCAAGATGTTTGGTTGGATACGAGGTATTCGTTGTTGCGACATTTACGGCATTCCCAGCAACAAGAAAGCTCCTTCTGCAAGTAAAATTCACCTTTTCCACAGGGTTTGCTACATACTGACTCCGGGGTCTCAAGACTCACCGATTCTGAGGTCACCCAAATGATAGGGTTCTGATCGACTAACTGCACGTGACCGACGTCAGCGTCCCACGAGGCCACAGCGACCTGTTTGTAGTCGGACGATTTATTCTGCAACTGCTCTATGTCATACTGGGCCAAGATGTCTCCCTGTTTGTCAAACTTCACTCGCCCAATATGCCCCTGGAATTCCACTTCCAACAAGTACTTTAAAAGCAAGGATCCGTTGATACATTTGCTGACATTTTGACCCACAACTCCTGGGCACCTTTCTTCGATGAGGCTGTGCAGCGCATGCGCAAAAACCAAGGTGGTGTCAATTACCAAAGTGGCAAAACTCATCGGAGCGAACCCGTTCGCTTCGGTCATTCGGTTATCTTCGTCACAGGTCGGCTTCCCGGTGCCGTTTGTCCAGGAGCAGTCGAAGTACAGTTCCCAGTGCTCCATGAAGTATGGGTTGTCGCTGCGGATGGCGGGGTGTAGCCCTTTGAACCACGTGTTAAACTCGCGCGCATAATCAAACCCTGGCCTAATGGTCAATATCCCCTCCGCGGCGTCCGCGCTGTCCCCCAAGTCGGCGATTCCCACCGACACCCCGTCGCTGCCGATCCACTGGAACACCCCCATGGCGTCTGCCCGCTTCACCGCTTTAAACAACTCAATGGCCGGCGATATATGCATTATCAACAGCACTGCGCGGGCGTTGCGGGCATTGAGAAGCATGCTGACGGTGAGGTCCCAGTCCGACTGCTGGAAGCTGTCGCTGACCACCCGGTCCACGGCGATGCAGATGCCGAAGTCTTTGGTCAGTTTGCGCACGGTCTTGGCGGCGGTCTCGCCGTAGTCGCTGTCCACGTAAAGAACGGAGACGTACGTCCATCCAAACTTGTTCAAGATGTCTACCATGGCTTGGACCTGGGGGAAGTAAAGAAATACTGGTGCATTATTTACTGCTTGAGTTGTATGAATATTATCAGGCAATCAGATAATTTAGTACATAAATGAAAGGGTTTTAATTTTCAGTTTATTCTAGCACCCATGAAATAGAGAAGGTGACCCATGACTGGTCTATAGAATGCTTAGTGATGAACATGCAGCCTCTCTAATGTAACACTTATAAGGGTTTAAAACTTTCATGAAATTTTCGATGAACTTCGAAACTGCTCAGTTTGCTCTGCAAGCTGACCCATAATTTGTATTTAAAAAAAATCTTTAAAAATGTCTACCTAAGCATTGTATTTTGACCCACGGAACCTCTGCTTTCACATAAGAGCAATCACACACGTAGAGCTTCCTTTTAAAAAAAAGATGTCTTTGTGATCGGCCAGTAGAAACCTTTATAATTCACTATAGCAGACCTTGGAACACACAGAACCACTTTAAGTGTCTCGACTTTCTTGGAAAAAAACCTGGCTGTAATCAGCTAAATGGCACTTGTTGGTCAGGTGAAGTGACCGTGGGCACCTGTCCTACTTGTTGACATTTCTGTATACGACACCCGGGCATCTAGGGACAGACGTCCAATCTTCAATTTCCAATGTTCAATTTCCTTAATGTTTAGTGAAGAACACTTTGCACGGATTCTTTCACGGCATAAAAATATTTGGTTCTTCACAAAGATTGCTCTGGCGAACTGTGATTTTAACGACACCAAGACAAAGACGACGGAATCTATGGTTGATGATTCCTTTTTACAAATTATTTGTAGTTTTGAAAAATAAAGAGCATATCAATTATTGTGTCTAAATGTTCGCACAAATGTCACTAACGTTATATTTACTAAAAATATTAAAGATTTTCACAAGATGTGGTTATATTTGGCAATTTATAAAATCCCACGAGTGCGTTTTATGTTTTAGGCATCCTCAATGTTGCTACTTTTTCAAAACGGTCTCTTCCTTTAAAGGGATAATAACTCTTCGTATGAGATCTATATTTCACAATGAAAACACTGTGAACAACTCGTAGAAATACAATATATTCTGTTTTACCACAAAAACGGCAGTTATAGCTATTATTCTGATATCCGAGCTTGTCTTCAGACCACGTGACCTCCATTGATGGCTATACTCTGTTATAATCTCTAAAGAGATTTTAACAAAAAACCAAACTTTTTAGAAAAAAACCAGGGACTAACTTTGAAAGTAAATATGGATTCATGAACCGTTGGTAAGCACGGAAAAAATTGTTGTTTACTCCAGGAAAATTCATTTTTTGGCCAAAACGAAGAGTTATTATCCCTTTAAAATGGAGGTATAACGTGTAGAACGATTATTTATTGCGTTCTGTAACCAAATGTGTTCTGTCACTAAGGGAAAGGTATAATAAAAAACACTGCCGTTACAACCCCTACGATTGCATCCATCTCACTACTAAATCGGGGCCGTAGCGATAGTCCGAAGGTTCAATAGTCCGAAGGTTCATTGGTCCGAATGTTCACTATAGAACCTTCGGACCAATGAACCCTTGATTAAAAAATCGATGAAAATGTTACCACTTTTCGGACCAATGAACCTTCGGACTATCGAGACGCCCCCACTAAATCACCAGTCGCCAGTGTCTTCGCCCGTAAATCAGACTTTGTAATTAAGTGACTACCAGCGAACCCTGTGATTAGAAAGTACTAGTACCTCTTCTGTACTCTCTACCTGGGCGACAGATTGATTTCCCACTAGATATTTACAGAAATGTCACTGGTTAATTCTTGGCACTTTTCAGCACTGTGGAAAGTGCACGTAATTAATCTGTGTCCCAGGTAGAGGGTACCTTTTGTGCAACATCGGTTGAAAGTACACCGCGTTCTTGACACCTTAACGTGACCTCAAACGTCGACGCCTTGAGTTGTTTATCAGCCTCATCGGATCGCCGGCCTGCTTCTGGTCACTTTCATTACATCTATCTTTCGTGAAAAGAGATATCAGTGAGTTGAAAGGGTGGCCACGTGCCAAGAAGGACGCTGAGATTTCTCTTAACTTTAGAAATGAAGGATGAAACGCGCCTTAAGTGAGCGAGAGAGAACAAAAAGAAAATGGCGCCATTCTTTACGATAATGGATAGAGGAAGCCTGTCATTTTAAAATGAACTATTTGTAATTATTTGAATTCAGCTGTATTTGTTCAAAATCTTATGGCGCAGAAAAGGCACAAACAAAGGCATACGAAGTAAATAAAATTAATTGTCTTACTTGTCTTCAATCACGTGTAATTGCCCATGGTTGACATGGTTAATTTCTTTTAAGTAATTCACACCATTGTCAAAACTATGATAAAACCATTCTTTCGTGAAGATTCAGATATTTTGCGGCTAGAGTATCTGCTAAGGTATTTGCGTGCACTGCTTTGAAGCATATTATCGCAATTATAGCGATGCAGTTCAATCCTGCAGATACTCAAATCAATTCTATAAATGGTCTGTGAATCCGAAGCAATTCTCGCTAAATAAATGAGTATTTTGTTTTTGAGTTTTTCTACGCCATTACCCCATGCTTCAGTAACGCGAGAATCCTACAAAATATCCGAAGTTTGTCGACAACCGATCTAAGAGTTAAAGAAACCGTGTAAGTCCTACAGTATTGAGCTATCCATCTGAGTTACTTCTTGGCCATGCCACTTGATGACGAATTACTCTTACTTGTGCACTTACGGCAGTATTTGCGGTGTTTATTCTCCGTTTGATAGTTTTCTTTTTTGTTACATAGTCAAAGGTATATAGCTGTTAAGATATTTTATAGCTTTGGAACTTAGATACTGTGCCCAGACATTGCTGTGCGTTCAAAGTAGGAAGGATTCTTTGACAGTTAAATAATAAGCTTACAAATACATCTTTTTTATCGTTTATGTTATTTCATTGGTTCTTATGGTACCTGCTTCCTTAACTGGTGAACGTGGTTCAAGTATTCTATTCAAAGATTCTCTGAAAAGGTGCGAGTTGAATAAATGAGTAATTGAATCGCTTTTTGATGCTTTCTTTGACCCCATTTCCAGAGATTAGATCGATCTTCTTTATATCGACCTAACTCCCTGGGGGTTCACGCTAAATAGCTGTCAGCCGAGCGGACACGAAAGTTAATTACCCCCTTACAGCTTGTAGTAGGCGGGACGGACATTTAAGCCGGATTATTTGACAGTAATCTAGTGAGACTCCCCGCGGGGATAGATCTATCTAAAAGCTCTGGGAATACAGCCTATAATTCTCAGATTCAACATAATCTTTCTCACTTACTCAAAACATTTTCTGGGCACATTTTGAATAACATCTTGACACTATACCATCTGTATACATACTTTTTCAACATTTGAAGACCCGTATATTGGAGTTGCCATTTTAAACTAATTTCGTTAAAATTCATTTTAGATGTAAGTACCTATTTCATTTTTATGAAAAAACTCATATGACTCAAGATTATCTAAACAATTGAGCTTTTAAGGATTCTAGTCAACGCCAAGTTAACAACTTTTCTTTATAATTAAGTCCAATAAGACATCATTTTGGTTTCAGGAAAAACCTATGAATTAACACTTGTAAAGATTTGCTGATTTTCTTGATTTTGGATAATTCTAACGATTGGCAAAAACAACGTGAGTGATTGGATTCTGACGTTCTTTGTTACGGTAATGGGAAGTGTGCAGGCGTGGCTCAATCTACTAAATTGTTATGTTGTTTTTATTTCCATGCACACAAAGCCAATGGAATTTACACAAAAGCTATCCGCACGCAGCATTAATACAATAACGGTAAGACCTGAAGAAAACTGGAGACACCGAACAATGTAAAGAAAGACGTTTATTGACGTTTATGTCGTATGAAGTTATCTATTAACACCGATTATCTTCCTCTTTATTTTCAATTTCCGAAAGATGATACGATAATTTCTGTCGAAGAAGTTAGTAGCCATCCGTGGCAACATAAGATGCTAAATGTATATTTCCTTAAAACCCTATCTTGTGGCTGTAAAATGATCGAATCGATTTAAAGTGCAGAGAATTAACGAGAAAGCGAATACGCCTGACATTCAGCAAGAACATGCACGGCTTCTTTGCAATTCACTAAGTGTCTGTTCTAGATACTTATACGAGATGAGAAGAGTTTGTCACTGTTACACATCTCAAGGAAACACCATTTTCTGCTGATCCTTCTGTTACGGAAAATGATTTTATGTGTTTATGGTGAGGGTAAGAACCAGGGTTATTTGAAAGGGGAACGTCCAAAGATGCTCGCTGAAGGACCCCGAAAATTTTTGGTATTTTAGAGGGCGAACGGTGCCATTTGGTACGGTTTAGAACAATAACTCGGCTAGTCAAAATTCTAATTAGAGGAGACCAGAAATCGAAGGGGGTGGGGGTGAGTCAAGACCCCCTGACCCCCCCCCCTCTAAATCCGTCACTGGTAAGAACGTCCTTTCTGCTCTGGTCTTCAAGAAGACACCTTTGAAATCACGCCAGGAATAAAGAGTGGGTGGTGAAGTGAGAAAAACTTTTCTGTTAGGCAAAGACTACAATTTCTTAGACACTAGATGTATTGTTGTCACACCACACAGTATTAAGAGAAACGCGTACGTGGCAATATTGAAACGGACTGCAGAGATTACGGCCATTAGGTTGCATAAATGACAAATTAGTCGGTGATTTCCTGCCCAAACACACCTAAACCAACAAGGACGTAAAGATTGAATATGAAGATATTATGTCAGTTAATCTACCTCTGGCTATGTCGTGATGCTGATCCTAATCGACCGGCTTAATGGCCTTTTTGCCGGAGATTTGCTGACCAAACGCACCATCCCCTAAGTCACAAGATAAATACTGATCTACGTCATTCTCCATCTTAAGTGTCACCTTCAAATCGTTTTTTAAACAGATATCGTTTAAGGTGTCCTTTGATCAGGAAACATAAACCTGATCTTCCTCC